TACTGGAATAAAATTCTAGATCCTCTAGTCCATCCTCTTTCTCAAGGCATAACCAAATGGCTGTATCTCATTCTGGACTGATATTTATATAATTTATTAGATTTTAGAGACTGCAACTGTGATAGTTACACAATTTGCCCAATTTAAGTTCTTGTACACTTATTATCAGGAAGTTTTGCATAAGGTCTTACATGAATCTTCTCAAACACATCCCAAGCCTATTGTTTCTTCTGTCATTCAAATACTATTTTAAAACATTATTTTCTTTAACAAAGGACAGGGAGGGGATACGAGGTGGAGGTGTCACCCTCTATGTCAATGACCAGCTGGAGTGCATGGAGCTCTGCCTGGGGATGGATGAGGAGCCAACCGAGACCTTATGGGTCAGGATTAAAGGGAAGGCAGAGAAAGGAAATGTTACAGTGGGGTCTGCTACAGCCCACAAGACCAGGAAGACCAAGCAAATGAGGGTCTCCATAGACAGACAAGAGCAGCCTCATGTTCACAAGCCCTGGTTCTCATGGGGGACTTCAACCACCCTGCTATGTGTTGGAGGGACAACACAGCAGGGCATCATCAATCCGGGAGGTTCCTGGAATGCGTTGATGATAACTTCCTTCTCCAAGTGACAGAGGAGCCAGGAGGAGAGGTGCTGTGCCGGACCTTGTACTCACCAACAAGGAGGGGCTGGTGGGGAGTGTGAAGCTCAAGGGCAGCCTTGGCTGCAGTGACCATGAAATGGGAGAGTTCAAGATCCTTAGGGCAGCAAGGAGGGCACATAGCAGGCTCATTACCCTTGACTTCAGGAGAGCAGACTTTGGCTTCTTTGGGGATCTGCTTGGCAGAGTAGCCTGGGATAAAGCCCTGGAGGGAAGAGGGGCCCAAGAAAGCTGGTTAATATTCAAGGGTCACCACCTCCAAACTCAGGAGCGATGCATCCCAACAAAGAAGGCGGCAGGTAAGAACACCAGGAGGCCTGAATGGATGAACAGGGAGCTCCTGCACAAGCTCAAACACTAAAAAGAAGCCTACGGAGGGTGGACACAAGGACAGGAAGCCTCGGAGGAATTCAGAGAAACTGTCTGAGCAGCCAGGGATCAGGTTAGGAAGGCCAAAGCCCTGACAGAATCAAATCTGGCCAGGGACATCAAGGGCAAGCAAAAAAGCTTTTGTAGGTGTGCTGGTGATGAAAGGAAGACTAGGGAAAATGTGGACCCTGTCTGGAAGGAAACAGGAGACCTGCTTCCCCAGAGTATGGAGAAGGCTGAGGTACTCAGAGACTTTCTTGCTTCAGTCTTCACCGGTAAGTGCTCCAGCCACACCGCCCGAGTCGCAGAAGACAAAGGAAGGGACTGGGAGAATGAAGAACTGTTCAGTATAGGAGAAGATCAGATTTGAGACCATCTAAGGAACCTGAAGGTGCACAAGTCCGTGGGACCTGATGAGACGTGTCTGCGGGTCCTGAGGGAGCTGGCAGATGAAGGGGCTAAGCCGCTATCTATCATATTTGAGAAGTCACGGCAGTCCGGTGAAGTTCCCACTGCCTGCAAAAGGGGAAACATAACCCCCATTCTTAAAAAGGGAAAAGAGAATGACCCAGGGAACTACAGCCCAGTCAGTCTCCCCTCTGTGCCCGGCAAGATCATGGAGTGGATCCTCCTGGAAACTATGCCAAGTCACATGGAAAATAAGGTGATTGGTGACAGCCAGCATTGCTTCACTGAGGGCAAATCATGCCTGACGAATTTGGTGGCCTTCTATAACAGGGTTACACTGTTGGTGAGTAAGGGAAGAGCAACTGGTGTCATCTACCTGGAATTGTGCAAAGCATTCGACACTGCACTGCGTGACATCCTTGTCTCTAAATGGGAGAGACATCGATTTGATGGACGGACCACTCGGTGGATAAGGAATTGGCTGGATGGTCGCACTCGAAGAGCTTGTGGTCAACAGCTCGATGTGCAAGTGAAGGGCAGTGGTGGGTGGAGTTCCTCAGGGGTTGGTCTTGGGACCGGTGCTGCCTAACATCTTTACTGACGACATGGACAGTGGGACTGAGCACACCCTGAGTGAGTTTGCCAACACCACCAAGCTGTGTGGTGCGGTCGACACACGGGAGGGCAGGGATGCCATCCCGAGGGCCCTGGACAGGCTGGGGAGGTGGGCCCGTGCAAACCTCACGGAGTTCAACAAGGCCAAGCACAAGGTCCTGCACACAGGGCAGGGCGATCCCAAGCACAAACACAGGCTGGGTGATGAGGTGATGAGTGGATTGAGAGCAGCCCTGTGGAGAAGGACTTGGGGGGTTTTAGTGGATGGAAAACTGACCATGAGCCAGCAAGGTGTGCTTGTTGCCCAGAAATCCAACCGTGTCCTGGGCTGCATCAAGAGCAGTGTTGCCAGCAGGTCGAGGGAGGGGATTCTGCCCCTCTACTCCACTCTGGTGAGACATCACGTAGAGTACTGTTTCCAGCCCCAACATCAGACGGACATGAGCCTGTTGGAACAGGTCCAGAGGAGGGTCAGGAAGATGATCAGGGGGCTGGAGCAGCTCCCTGTGAAGACAGGCTGAGAGTTGGGGTTGTTTAGACTAGGGAAGAGAAATCTCTCGGGAGACCTTATAGCAGCCTTCCAGTGCTATAAAGGGGGCTACAGGAAAGATGGGGAGGAACTTTTAACAAGCTTGTGTAGTGTTCGGATGAGGGGTAATGGTTTTAAACTAAAAGAGGGTAGATTTAGATTAGATATAAGGAAGAAGTTCTCTGTGAGGGTGGTGAGACACTGGCACAGGTTGCCACAGAGAAGCTGTGTTCAGCCTGGAGAACAGAAGACACCTGGAGGACCTTCAAGTGGCCTTCCAGTACTTAAAGGAAGCTACAGGAAAGATGGAGAAGGACTCTTTATCAGGGAGTTGTAAGGAACTGAATGAATTAATGCCTCAAACATTCCTCAACACAGAAACATCAAGGACAAGTTGTGGCCTTTGTGATTAGACTAAGGAATGCTGCTCAGAGAAGGGCAGAGTGTATTGAAGGATGCAGCTTCACTTCCTTGCTGACATTCTAAATCCCTTAGATAAACCTGCTGAAAAGTAAAGGTGGTAGGAGAGAGCAAGACCACTCCTTTCTCATAGAAATGAGTTCCTGCCTCTCTTTGTCTAGTATGCTAATCAGCTGATAAGATGAACTTTAAAGAGGACAGAAAACTTTGCTGCTTGTGCATCCACCACCCAATATTTCCAGACCTGAGACAATGCTGGAAGGAGTGGTGGTGACCGGACTCTTATTCTCTTTTCTCCTCTCCTTTCCTCTCCGCTTTCCTTTCCTCTCCTTTTCTCTCTGCTTTCTTTTTCTCTCCTTTCCTCTCGTTTTCTCTCTGCTTTCTTTTTCTCTCCTTTCCTCTCCTTTTCTCTCTGCTCTCCTTTTCTCTCCTTTCCTCTCCTTTTCTCTCTGCTTTTTCTCTCCGCTTTCCTTTCCTCTCCTTTTCTCTCTGCTTTCCCTCTCCGCTTTCCTTTCCTCTCCTTTTCTCTCTGCTTTCCCTTTCTCTCCTTTCCTCTCCTTTTCTCTCTGCTTTCCCTTTCTCTCCTTTCCTCTCCTTTTCTCTCTGCTTTCCCTTTCTCTCCTTTCCTCTCCTTTTCTCTCTGCTTTCCCTTTCTCTCCTTTCCTCTCCTTTTCTCTCTGCTTTCCCTTTCTCTCCTTTCCTCTCCTTTTCTCTCTGCTTTCCCTTTCTCTCCTTTCCTCTCCTTTTCTCTCTGCTTTCCCTTTCTCTCCTTTCCTCTCCTTTTCTCTCTGCTTTCCCTTTCTCTCCTTTCCTCTCCTTTTCTCTCTGCTTTCCCTTTCTCTCCTTTCCTCTCCTTTTCTCTCTGCTTTCCCTTTCTCTCCTTTCCTCTCCTTTTCTCTCTGCTTTCCCTTTCTCTCCTTTCCTCTCCTTTTCTCTCTGCTTTCCCTTTCTCTCCTTTCCTCTCCTTTTCTCTCTGCTTTCCCTTTCTCTCCTTTTCTCTCTGCTTTCCCTTTCTCTCCTTTTCTCTCTGCTTTCCCTTTCTCTCCTTTTCTCTCTGCTTTCCCTTTCTCTCCTTTTCTCTCTGCTTTCCCTTTCTCTCCTTTTCTCTCTGCTTTCCCTTTCTCTCCTTTTCTCTCTGCTTTCCCTTTCTCTCCTTTTCTCTCTGCTTTCCCTTTCCTTTCCTTTATCCTTTCCTTTCCTATAGACTACTCTTCTCCTATAATTTCCTTTTATTTTCTTTCCTTTCTTTTCTTTCTTACAGATCTATCAGTCAGAGACCCCATTGCTTACTATCCTTTTCCAAGTTTAGTTGTTTCTACCACAAGTAAAACATTTTAACCAGTCATCTGGTGTCTTTTCACCTTAATTTAACCCGAGGGGATCGCAGAACCTTTATGACACCCCGGGCTCCCAGTCCAGGTAGTAATAGGAGTGTAGGGATAGGACAACGGGTAATGGTTTTAAACTGAAAGAGGGTAAATTTAAGTTAGATATAAGGAAGAAGTTCAGTACTGTGCAGGTGGTGAGGCATTGAAACAGGTTGCCCAGAGAAGTTGTAGCTGTCCCCTCCCTGGAAGTGTTCAAGGCCAGGTTCAAAAGGGCTTTGAGCAACCTGGTCTAGTGGAAGGTGTCCCTGCCTGTGGCAGGGGGTTGAAACTAGATGGTCTTTAACATCCCTTTTAACCCAAACCATTGTATGATTCTATGAAATTTGAAGGCTGTAGCCCTGTTTCCCTTCCAAACACTGATCACAGTGAACATGAAGTCCTGGCCAGGATCACATCAACAGTAATAAACTCAGGCATCATGGTGAACTAATCACTAAAACAGAACATAGTGTTAGGAGTAGGCAATCCAAGGACACAGGTCAGACCGTTGTCCCTTGTATAAAATCCCACAATGAATCAAGAAAATAGAAACTCTGTCCACAGAATACTGTGGAAAACAAAGGGGTTTGTTGACTATAGGAGTATAGGGCTTACTATGTTTCAGTTCCCTACCTCTACCACAGTTGTCTGGGCAGCTTTGCACATAGGTTGGTTGAAGTTTCTTGCAGTTTTCCTGAGAAAGAGAAGAAAATTAATAAATATTAAAGACTATAGTAGTACAAGGAAGGACTTCTCAGGAATAGGCTACTACAAGTATCTCTGTAATGCAAACATCACAAAATTTCTCACCAGATAGCTAGAGGACTAATAAAAAAATAGGAAGGAGGAAAAAAGTTACAGACCTGTGTAAGATGCATATGAAATTAAATAATATCTTACTACATTAGGAAATACTTATTACAGCTCTTTTGACTTCTAATCAGCGCACTGTTTACCTGAAATTGAGAATTCTACTGATACCTTCATTTATTAGATCCAAGAGCAGAAGCAAGCTGGTATTTGTACAATACACCTTCCCATTATTTTACTGCACAAAGAATTAAATTAATCTCCACAGGGGGGCCAGTACAGGGCCTGACACCTGTCAAATCCCACATATGCCTTCATAATTCAGATTAGGATTTGGGATAGCACTTTGCACAGTAGTAAATTTAATCCAGTTCTCTTGATTAAAAAAGCTGTGTCAGTTTTGGCACTCACTGCAGGACTCTGGCAGTCAATCTAACTATTACTGCACAGTATATCTGTGACAAGTAAAAAGAACCTCTAGAGAATAAAAGCAATACATGACGTATATAACCATGCTAGGATCTGCACTGAGATCCTAGCAAATAACCTGTGTCAGCCCCTCTCTGTATTTTTCAGAAAGCAAACAAAACTGTGTGGCACAATATTTGAGATAAACCGTGTATATTTAGTGGGGTTTCACTGATAGCTGCTCAGCATTTTTCTCTTTAAAAGGCAGAATTCTTAAAAGTTTTTCCTCAAAATGCATGAAACTAGTGTTCAAAACAAGTCAAAACCTCCCTTCCCCTCATCCTCTTTCCACAGAAGTATGTTTTTTCTCACTATCCGTATTTCTCAATGCCTTTTCCTCTTTCCTTCACCCTTTTGTGCGATGCCATGCCTAGTGCTATAGCCACTGCTGGACTTTGGGATGCTGCTGCCACCTTGTGTCTCTGAGGGAGGTAGGGAATTGAAATGGCCCAATCCTGAGAGCGCCATGCAGTTTTAACAGGATTTCTAGTGTGGAGACCTACAGAATCTAAGCTATACCCAAAGACACACATCTTGGGGAAATCCTGTTTTTTTTGCAATACACAGCAGATGTGAAGCATATAACAGAGGTTACAGAAGGTACAATATTTTTTGCTGTGGGTCTCCTCTGTGGCTGAGTAAACAGAAAAGGATGTAAGAAGAGGAAATCATTAAAAAAAAAAACAAACCTTGAATTTATATTGAATTTATATTCTTCTCTTAGTGCATGAATACAATACTAGCTAGTAGTCATTTAGGTAAAACTACCCTAAACTAGGTAGAGTAGAAAATGAGAAAAAGAACTAGAGCTACCAAAGCTGAATTAAAATAGCATGGAAATGGATACAAATGGGGGAAAACAAAGAATTCAGTATTTCATCACAAGTGAATACTGTTCTGACCCAAAGACCTTCTCATGATCATAGTAGCTGGTCTGCCAGTAAAAGAAACTTATATAAAATTATTTTTACATACGGAAAACAGTTACAAGAAAACATTTCAATGTCAAATTAATAAGAGTTAATGGGCTTGATTCTGACCCTATTTATAAAAGCTTATGCATTTTAGAACATTCTTGGTTTAGTAAAGTTGTTCCAAAAGCAGAAGTCCTTTACAAGATCAAAGGTTTTATTTCTAAAGACCACATCACCCAGAAGAAATAAAACTAGAAACACTACACTTATTTTTCAACACAGTATAATATTTAGGTTTTTGGAGCATGAAATCCAGAAACTAGCTAGCCAAGTTTGCCTTTTTATTTTAAGATAGCTTTCTGGACATCTAGACTCAGCAATATCTACAAAATCCATTGTTCCAGCAACAGATTCCTAAACTGGCCCGAAGGCATGACAACAGCTTTTCTCCTAAAAGCAAAAGATAGCAAACTAGTTCATAGTAGGCTAAACCAACAAACCACATCCACTATGTGCCTAATGGTGCAAAGATGAAGGGACACCTCAGATACAAGCTGAATTTACGTATTGCAGAACCACTTGAATCATGAATAGATGACCTGACATGACTGTGATAGCAGAAGCCCTGACTCAGGCTATCCCTTCAATGTCTCTGTTCCTTTGTCAAGAGTGTACTTTCATCAGCACCAAAACACACCTCTGCTTGTGAAGTGGAAGTATATTGGACTTGAACAACTCCAAAGCAGAATGGTACCAGATGAAAAGGGAAGGGAGCCAAAGGAAGCAGAACAGCCACAAAAGCAGTGGCAGTTCCTGCTATTGTCCCTAACAAGCAAAGCTTCAAAGGACCTTAGGACCTGAAGACATTCTGTTCTGCTGAATAGAACTAATACCTGCCTCAGACTAACAAAACAAAATGCCCATATACACATCCTTTCAGCTGGAACAGGAACAAGGTAGAATTATTTCACCATGTTTGAAGAAGTGCACTGTACCTTGGTGCACTGTACTTAAGAATTATTACCTACTGGGCCAGACACAGGTCTTGTTAGGCAAAAGCTGTGGTGCAGAATAGTCCACTCAGCATAAAGATGCTTGGAAGGAAAGCAGTCACAGCCTGCTGTACGGAACAAAAGAGCTAAGGGATATGAAGTATCATGTAGAAAACCCTGTTTTAAAAAAACTGCTTTCTAAAGAAGCTGGTGCAATTCCAGATCCCCAAGAAAATGGTACAGCTTCATGTATAATACACAAAAAAAACTCATGCTGGCCTGTGGTCCAAATAAGTCTACTTAAAGTACATCCCTTAGATTTAAAAAAGCTCTTAGCTTGAGGGTGATTAACAGTTTGGCAGACACTTATTCCATTCCTATTGGCTCCAGAGATATCAGTGTCATGGGAAACACGCTATAAATAGTACCACAGTGCTGCGAAAGCTGTGGCAAATGTGAGCAAACACAGAGCCTATGTTTATCTAGGTATATGTCAGCAAATAAAAACAGAAGTCACATAATTAAAAAAGTATGGGAGGGTCACACTGGCAGTGAATACATACTCAGTATGTAGCATGATGTCAAAAATACATTTTCTTTTTCATCCTGTAGATCACAGAGATATTGCTGTTACATTCGAATCTTTTACAATTTCCTCCTCTGTTGTCTCCCACAGGCTATGAGATGACCCTATGTTTCTTTGTTCTAAGCCACCAGGTAATTTGTGTCTCATCCAAAACGAGAATGGGTCACTGCTTCTTATGAGCAAATTCTTTTAAACTAGCAATACTCTACATGGAATAAGGCTCTGCATGATGATGTTTCCATCTTTGATATGTTACACTTGAAAGAAGGAGTCAAGATTTTTAGGTCTTCACTTCAGATGGAAGTAATATCTGGTATCAATTGTACTGTGTGAATTCAGAAGACATAAGACTTCTGAAAGGCACAGGAGGTAGAGGGAAAGCCATAGAGACCAATAGGACATAAGGTGTGGAGTAGGCAGGAAGGGAGAATGCAACCAGTTTGTTTCTGTGCAGAATGAAAGAACTTCTCACAGATTAGTAAGCATTAGTAAATAGATATGGGGTAAAAGCACAGACAGTAGAGGCTTAAGATCAAACAAAGGCAAGTCCAAGGGGAAGACTGTTTCTTGTATTCCATGTCCCAGACCCTAAGGAAAGCAGCTTAACTGCTATTAATACGCACGCATACAAGAAAGTTCAGTTTTCAATCAGAAACCATCTTGTCTTGCCAGTGGGCAAGCCATGATGTCAAGACTTGGGTAAAATAAAATTTTATTTCTTAATTTTCAACTGCTTTAATATTATATCTAGAAGACATATAGATAAAAATTTATGTGAATACATGCATATATATACATATATACACAAAGAAAAGCATTACTTTATCAGTACTATTTTATCCACATATTTTTTTGTCGCTTTTTCAACTCCTTGTTTGCTTTAATACACACAAAGACAGACTGCATCATTCCGCATCTTCTTCTAGTAAACTGCAACTTATTAGCATAACACTTACCTTTTCACCTGATGACCATAAAACAAACAAATAAAAACCAGACATTAAAGATAAGTATACCTCTCCTGCATCAGTTCAGGACAAACCAAAGCACAAATATACCAACTCAAATAAATTATGTTATCACTAGTTCAACACCCAAATTTTTCACTACAAAAGATGTTTTAATTCATATGATGCCTCTCCCTACACCACTGTGATCAAATCAACTTTAAAAACACTTTTGTGGGGACAGAATCAAGTTTTCCCATCACTGACTGGCCAAGAGACTGTCACAACTCCCTTCTCTTCTGACATACATGAAACTGCACTTCTTGGGTCAGCATTCAATTGTGCAAGGAAAAGGATCCAAACTAACATGAAAATTTAAATGAACAGAATATCACTACATTTCTCCACAGTCATCATAATGACTTTGGTCTGACATGTCTCATTTTTAACTACCAATGTTTAATTTTACAGCTGTGTTTGAATTCTCAAAAGCCATTAAAAAAGCAATTATATTTTGTTTTTTTATAGCAGTATAATTTGACAGTAGGAAAAGGCAATATGAAAGATAGTTAAATCAGTAAAACATTATTTTGCCATCACACAGAAGACAGGATTCTCTTTCTCTTTCATTATCTAAACCATTAAAGAATTTCTTCCCACTGGCAAACAAGTCATACCTGAAAATGATGTTTCCTGCACGATCAGCCTTCCATGCCTTTACCAGAGCAAAATCTCCTGTAATCGACTTCTCTAGAATAAAGTGACGACCATCAAACTCTCTCACCTACAGAGAAAAGCACACTATTAAGACATAGGTTTCTTCAAACAGATCTCACATGTAGTATTTATTTTATGAGGTTAATTTTACAGACTTACACTTAGACTTCTTTTTGTATTACATAAAGTTTTATCTGAAAAACTGTGGCTCAGCTGCATAATAACAGAGAAGCACAGAAAGGCTGTAAACCACAGTATAATCAGTGTCTCTGTTTAGTGAAACAGGAAAATCAGATCCATATTCCTGCTGCTCCATCTACTGGAAATAGACATGCTTCTTCCTGCACACCCACCAGTTAACCAAAAATGGAACTGATAAAGGAGAACTGTTGAAAAAGTTCATAATCACTGCCCACCACCATAAACCCCAAATCTAAAGTAAAGTGGATTTGAGATAGAGTACTCACATCATACGACAGGCTGAATTTAATCTGATTTTCTATGCATTTATGATCAATATTTGTAATAATATTGTGCCTGAAGACAGAATATGTAACTGACAAACACCTAGCATTTTAATACTATATAGAAACATAAAACAGCACTTCTCTTAACAGAGTAGAAGGTTATACACAAATAGTATTTGAGAGCTATTTCAAATTTCTGAGAGGGGGAGGAAGTATGACAAAAGTGTATCAGAAGTCAGTTTTTCAGTCCTGTAAAAGAAGGTTTGAGCTTTTATAAAATGACATGCATTTGAAACGGATTTGGAGAGTGTATTTGATGAAATCATGCTAGTCCCATTATTAGCCACCCAAAACACTGAGGAGAGTAAAAGAGACTTTTCCACAAATGTTAAAAGCAGAAGAAAAATGTTATCAGAATGATAAGCTATTTAATAAACAAACCATTCCTTCAAATGGTAAAACATCGTTATAGCATTTTCAGTAAGAAAATTAAGGAGAAAAAAAAAAAAAAAGACTAAGTTAATGACTAGATACTGAAAATAGCCATGTATAAAATACATGAATATCACAGGGAATGGAAACTACCTTTACCCCAGAGACGTTCTTGAAGTAGAACTTAATGCCATTTGCAGCCTAATTAGAACAAATAGCATTAGCCCCATCCATTTCTTCAAGTGCAGTTACGGTACTGAGAAATCTCTCCCCTTCTCCAAATTCTACCTCCAATTTCAATATGAAGCCCTTAATTCGCACTTGGAAGCCACGCTCTATTTATTTGTGATTTCAAGTACTCAGACTAAATTTCATTTCAACTCTTGGCAAATGCATTTCCTGAAAGTTTGTGTCAACTGAGCTCTTCCTTGTTTAACAGGAAAACATCCCATCTCTTCTAATGCAAAAGCTTAGTGTACAGCTGCAGGGATGCTTACTCCATGCCACACTATTTAAGCAGCACCTAGCCCGCTACACAAAGGTTGTTCTCAATTTGTACTGTGCACTGCAGTGGCTTGGTACAAGATTCTGTTTGCATGCACAGTGAGCCTGGTCAGAGAACTGTCAATGGAAGAGTAATTAAGCAAGGTGGGTTTTCACTCAGACCAGTTCTTGATGATACGCTACCCTAAAGCTGTAAAAACTTTTCTAACACATCACAGAGGACAGAAGTAAGCAGTGGGAAGAAAACTAAGGTTAAACTTGTCCAGGAGGTGCTTAAACTACTGTTTATCTTGGAAATAGTTAAGAAATTCAGCTTTCAAGGCAGAAGTCTTCCAAATAACAAATTGACACCTTACCTCTCTTGGCTGGCTGGCAATGGCAATGGTGCCATCTGTGTTGTACTTGATAGGCGCACCCCCTTCCTGCACCAGCGTCCCATAGCCGGTACTGGTGTAAAATGCTGGGATTCCTGCTCCTCCTGCTCTAATACGTTCAGCCAGCGTACCCTATGGGAAAGTATATTTAACCAGTCATTTGGGAACAACAAATCAAACTCTGATGAATAGCTTGCATGAACTTATTTTTATATCCTGTCATTTGGAGCTTTTCCTTCTGAATTCAGCAGACTACCACATGTATTTCTTCTTCCCAGTTTAGCTCTACTTTGTGGCACTGGTACTGGATATGGCAAGAAATACTTCACACACAGCCATAAACTGCTCAAGAGCACACCATCACACAACTCCCTGTCAGCACCCAAGCCCCAGCACTTTGCTGTGCCTACTCTCCTTCAACTTGTTTCCCAGTCCATTACTCTGTGAGAAGTAGAGGGGTTTTTTTTCTCTTTCCCTCCAGGATACATATACTAGAAGGTTTTTCTTTTTTAACACTCCTGCAGATTTATGTTTTATTCTCCAACATTTTAAGAAAAACTTCGTATCTCACTCCAAGTTGAAACAGCCACACATAGCAGACTCAGAAAGGAAGAAAGAGTTCAGTGATCTGGGTTGCTTGTGCTAAGAATACCAAGAAGCTGACAAAACATTTCTACTCTATTTGACCACCCCATGTGCACTCTGCTCTGTGTCTAGCTGTACCACAGATACTAACAGCCCAAATTCCTCAACAGCCTTAATCATGCATTTATGGTCAACGTCATATCTGCCTGCTTTCCATTACTGTCCTTTCCCAAATTTTTATTTATATTTTTCTGGATTCAAAGCAAGACAAGACCATCATGGACAATTATGTAGCTTGATGGCCTCCAAAACACAGGTTGCATTTTCCCCACTTATTCTGCAAGAAACACCATGACTTCTGGTAAGTTTACAAAATGGTGGCAAGAGGCAGATGCAAACCATGCAAGGACACAAAGTCCTATATTCAAAGCAGCCTTAGCATTTCAAGATCTCACCATGACCTCTCCCTTACTGAGTTAATAGGGCCATAACAGTCCCCCATTTTTCCTAAAGTTATATGAACTTGAAAAGCACTTTCCAAAAGGCTGTTTCATTTTGATCCAAATATTTCAAATGCCTGCATCTCACAGGAAGTCAATAATTCACCTTACTGTTTACCATTTCACACTGTAGACCCAGTATTTTCATGCTGGACCTGCATAGTTTGTCTGTGCAGTCCACAAAGCCAATTATGTGTCAAAGGAGTTCAATGTCTTCTGGATGAAAGCACTGAACATTAAGTAGAAAGAAGGAAAAAACATGAGAAATGACAAGGGCCTGGTTATTTCCATGTCAGGTGATTGGGTATAAAAGGAGTTTTTCTGCCCATCTCTGGGATTCTAAGAGACATTCCCAAGAGATGGAGCCCAAGACCCTCTTCTCCATAAAAACTTAAGACTTGCTCTTCTCAGACTTAAATCAATAGCTGTTTAAAGCCCAAAGGCTATGTGTCACCTTTGGAAATGCAACACACTAGCATGCTGTAGGCTTTACAGTTAGAGCTGTAATTTCACAAAACTAGATGTCAGTATAATATGACTGATAACTCATTATTTTAGGATCTCATTGCATTTGAGCAATTTGAGTAGCTTGGCAGTGCTAAAATAATTAAAACCATGGTGCTAACAAGTGAAGTTGTAAATATTGGCTCATAACACTATACAGAAATTAATTTAGTTAAAATTTCATTAACAAACCCAAACAAGCTGACTCACAACAAACTGACATCTCCTAATTTGATTCCTACCCACTAGATGGCAGACACTGCACACACAACATGCTCAAAAGCACACACAAGTGGACATCAGTACAGGAATTCAGCAACTCCCTGACTTTTTTTCCCCCGTATGTGGGCCACAGTAGTGAGCATACTTCGTCTGTTTTTCTACAGTCTGGGAGGAACTACCAAAAGAAGGTAGTTCCTCCACCAGGGTGCTGGGACATCTTGTCTAGACCATACTTTTGCCAAGAAAGGTTGGATCAGATGATCTTTGAGGTCCCTTCCAACCTGACATTCTATGAGTCTATGAAAAACAAACCTTGTACAATGAAACATACATACATATATATACATTTATATACTTGAAATTAAGATAATGTAACAAGTCATAAAAGGAATTCACACAATACGACCAGTACGTTCTTAGCATACCAGTTTCAGCCTATAGCCCACGATCCTAAGATGGTGTACTGGGTTTGCGTGGCAAGGTTTTGGTAGCAGGAAGGGCTACAGAGGCCGCTTCTATGAGAAGCTTCTCAAAGCTTCCCTTGTGCCCAATGGAGCCAATGTCAGACAGCTCCAAGACAGACCCGTCACTGGCCAAGGCCAAGCCCAACAGCAATGGCAGTAGTGCCTCTGTGATATTTAAGAAGGGGCGGGAAAAAAAAATCCTGCTCAACACCAGCAGCAGTCAGAAGAGAGACAAGTGAGAATGTGAGAGAGAAACAACTCTGCAGGCACCAAGGTCAGTGAAGAAGGAAGGGGAGGAAGTGCTCCAGGAATAGAAGCAGAGATTGCCCTGCAGCCCCTGGTGAAGACCATGGTGAGGCAGGCTGTGCCCCTGCAGCCCGTGGAGGTTAATGGTGGGGCAGATACCCACCTGCAGCCCAGAGAAGACCCCACACCAGAGCAGGTGGATGCCCAGAGGAGGCTGTGACCCTGTGGGAAGCCCACCCTGGAGCAGGCTCCTGGTAGGACCTGTGGACTCATGGAGAGAGGAGCCTGCTGCAGCAGGTTTGCTGGCAGGACTTGTGACCTCGTGGGGGATCCACACTGGAGCAGCCTGTTCCCAAAAGACAGCACCCCGTGGGAGGGACCCATGCTGGAGAAGTTTGTGAAGAACTGCAGACTTTGGGTTGGACCCACAACGGAGAAGTTCATGTAGGACTGTCTCCTGTGGTAGGGACCCCATGCTGGAGTAGGGGAAGAGTGTGAGGAGTCCTCCCCCTGAGGAGGAAGGAGCAGCAGAGACAATGGGTGATGAACTGACCGCAACCCCCATCCCCTGCCCCTCTGCACCACTGCAGGGGAGGAGGTAGAGAAATTGGGAGTAAAGTTAAGCCTGGGAAGAAGGGAGGGGTGGGGAAAAGGTGTTTTAAGATTTAGTTTATTTCTTATTATCCTACTCTGATTTGATTGGTAATAAATTAAACTAATTTCCCAAAGTTAAGTCTGTTTTGCCTGTGACGGTAATTGGTGAGTGATCTCTCCCTGTGCTTATCTTGAGCCATGAGCCTTTCATTATAGTTTCTCTCCCCTGGCCAGCTGAGTAGGGGAGTGATAAAGCACCTTTGGTGGGCACCAGGCATCCAGCCAGGGTCAACCCACCACACATGGCAACTGCCATCTGTCTTTACCGAGTATCTGCACATAGGAAAACCATTTGGATTGCTAAATAATTTTATAAGAGCACTCAAGCATTATTTTACTCAGTACTGTAGATGAAAAGAAGTCACCAGTCTTCCAGGGACACTCCTTACCTGAGGTGTAAGCTCAACTTCAAGCTCACCAGATAAATACTGGCGTTCAAATTCAGCATTCTCTCCAACATATGATGACACCATCCGTTTTATCTGCTTAGTCTGAAGTAGGAGACCAAGTCCAAAATTGTCAACACTGTGTAGAAAAAGCCAGACGATACTTAGCATTTATAACAGAGTTTTGTTGTATTCAAAGCACTTGATAACCTTTAATGACTTAACAAAATAGAAAAGGGTTACCTTACCCAACTTTAGACATAAGGAGTTAGAGACAAAAATCGAATTCCAGCTTTTAGAGGGGAAAACATCAAAGCTGCAATTAAAATCTATGAATCTAGTGCTCAGACCTCATCTCTTCCAAGGCATGGAATACATCCAAAACACCTACAAATACCACCTTGAAAGTGGTGTTATTTTATGTATCTGTTCCTTTAAAAAGCCTTACTAATTAATAAAAACTCACACATGACACAACTTGGCTTTGAGTGAACAGAGACTTATTTTTGTTTAAACCCTTGCTCCTCAGGAAAAAAGGCAAATGATTGCTTAGCAGCTCAAGGAGAAAGGCACATTTACATTTATAGTGCTAGTTTGTATATAAGGTAAGAAAATATTTGTATTTCATTTTTCTTATTACAGTAAAGAAATCAATTCCTTATAAAGAAATTGCTTGCTCCAGCAAAAGATACTAACACTGCAATCAAGATTTTCTTGTCTGTGTTGTATCATCAGCTTAAACTGAATGCCAGAGATAGCATACAACATTCTTCTTGTGCCAGTGTTTCTAAATTCTGATATCCTAAAGTAATTATCCTCTACTGGTCTTTACTATTTCTGTGATGTTTGTAATACATATATATCTTATGTACCAATGGGACAAAAACATATTTCAAGGGTTCCTGTGACCAAGAGGCTCTGTAAATAAAAGCTATTTCAATTTGAAAAAAACGATGAGGTTAAAATACAAAAATGGAAATAAACAGAGGTGATATTATAAATGCATGTTTCTTTCAGATTTCAACACATTATGCAGGATGTTGGCAAACTGGTACATGTTTGTGAAGCTCCTCTACACCTGTGTTGGTCTCTACAAGTGGAGAACTCAGACCTTCCACTTCCACTACAGGCAAGATGCCATGATCCAGAAATACCTCACAAAAAGTGATGTCTGCCTCTAGTTGTCTCAATTCAGTATGACTTCATTATCCACACAATGGCTTCAGTTTTCAGCATAATATTGAAAAATCTTAAAAAAATCCTTTAAGAAACCAAACCTGGTATCCAGCATGCTGTAATTAACATGCACATGTGCTTACAATATATGCATGCTATTGAAAACACCACTCCTGAAGAAGAGCTCCAAAATCTTGTCTGCATTTTCTAATTCTATTAATTGCTTTAATGAAATATATCCATTTCCTATACAAATCTCACCCTTCCGGTATTCTTACACCACCATGTCTACAAGACCTTCCTTCTCTAGGTACTGTCAGAAATGAGCTGTCTCTCCACTAATGACCAGCTGGAGAAAGTAATGCATCAGACTGCCTTCCCTCTATTCTCCCTCCTTATACCATACCCAGATTATTGGTAAGTATATCCCCAAACCCTGGCTTTATAATCTATGGTGATTGGGAAGAAAAGAATGTAAAGTATGTGTAAATACTGTAAAACAAATCTATACTTCCCCCACAAAAAATACTATATTACCCAAAAAAGGGGAAAAAAAACACTTAAAAATCAAGATACGATGCTGAGTGAGCTGAGGGGTATTTGTTTTCCACAATAAATCAATGTAGATGAGAGGAAGGAACCCACTGAGCCAGAAGCAAACCTCACTTAATGGATGTTAATACACCACCACTTCAGGATCCACGTCTGACATCCCAGCTGTGACCTCCTAGCATCTTTTCAAAAGGCCATATTCAAAAAACTTACTATTGAACAGTATTCATTTTCAAATACAAAAGTGGTAATGATGAACCCACTTACAACAGCACCACTACCCTCTTGCTTACCAGTGCTAATGTCCTGTAGCACATGCTGCAGTGCTACATGGGGAGGGAGCGGGGCTGAGCAGAGGAGTACCAGCACCAGCTCTTCACCTCCTACCAATACTCAAAATAGCTACATGGACAGACATGCAAACAGAAAGACTACTCAACTGCATGCGTAACAAGGACTATTTTAAGAAGATAGCCCACTTCTATGCATACTCAAGCATTCTGGAAACTGCATGAGAGGAAGTGAAACAAGCTTCTCTGATATGGTTCTCTGAATTTATTCTATGTTCTCTAGATGTAAAGAACTTGGTTTACTGTGAAAGCTTGCTCTGCTCTCCAACTCTGACCTACTAAAAAAAATTTTAAGTCTAACTCTGATGCAATGTTATAAGTGTTGCAGTGTGAAAGCATTGAGAACAAAACGCATGCTGCCAGGAAACAACCTATATTTCTAACTCCCCACAAAAAAAAATTCCACTAGTTTGAAACAAAGAGAGATCAGAATAGAGTAGAAAGAGGAGTCTTGTGGGCAAAGAAAGGGATTAAAAAAGAGAATAAAAATACAAATGCCAGAATTTCCTGCACAGGGTCACTCCAAGCAGGACAATTCCTCTCAAGAAAACCATCTAACCCTGACCTATTATAAAAAGTAGTAAGCAATGTAACAGACCAGCCAGTATCTGGTGGCAGTTTAATGGATTTGTGTATGAGTACTGTGTAGGAAAAGTACTGAAGTTAAACAAAACTGTGAAGTGCTTTGTAGTGCAAGAACGAGCTGGGGCCGGTTGATCTGCTTTCAAACCAGAGTTTACTACTCCTGTGTAGCATTCAGGTGGTTAACACTGCTCCTACCAACGCAAAACTTGCCAACTATCAAACAGAAATGGGCAGTCACGGTATTTCTGCATTCAAAATTCTGAGTATTCACATGAGAAAGGGATGGCAACAGTATCAACAACAGACTTATAATTGTTAAAGAAACTTCTGCCTCATTTCAGTAAGATTTATAATCCCTCCTCCTACAGTCTCAGAAGCAGCTACTGAAGCACACAGTCCTTAACAGGATTTCGTGTATCATCCTGCAGAATCCCATGCAGGATCCCATACAGATACACTTGGTTCCCTCATCTACTACTGTTAGGTATCTTCTCTCAAACAGAACTTAGTAGTTACAAAATTCCCTATAGAAATTAAATAGGAAGTTGCACAAAAGTTACTCTTCCCTTCTTAAGTCACTCTTTCTCCCCATCTCAAAGGCAATCAATTTATTAAAAAACAAAATCGCAGTGAGGATCAGTCACTGAGAATACAATCTTATTTCCCTAGCAAATGAGAAGAGGAATTTTACCTTCAGAAACTCATGTACCAAGAGGCTCTTCCTTATTTGTTTAGCAACACATTCCTTCCTGTTGTTTTGTCCTCAGACCTACTAACCTTCCTGTCAAAAACTAATGTCTGCCTTTTCTAATTAAAAAATTAGCCAGTGATAACTCCCAGCCAGATCTAGCTCACATACCTCACATATACTGGAATTAGTCAAAGACAACACGTCAGTGTTGCACTCCAGATAAATGGTAACTTGCAGCTCTCAGTCCCTTCTCCTTGGAGGCTCAAGCAAAACACACTCTACAGCATCACCCAGAAGAAGAGATTACCCAAGTTTCCAAGCTGATAAAAGCTTCACACACCAACAAACCCTACACAGCCTGGTGAAGTAGGGAACAGAAATGTGCATTCTTATGGAGAAAAAACAGGAGACTTGGAACATCCCACTGCTCTGGAAAGAGACATAACATGGCTTTTGGGGATTTTTTTTTTGAGTAAAAGGGGATAATTACACTCTCTCTGCCTTTGTAAAGGAGTTGTTGGTGTCTAAGAAAATTGGGAGTGGTCAGGACAGACAGACTGAGAACACTGGAAAGCAGGGGTGAGGCAGCATCAATTAGCATGAGGGCATCACTCTATATCTCTTAAAGAGAAGTCTTCCTCTACACTTGTTGTTCAAAGATTCTCCAGGACCTGCAGTGCATATTCCTGGGAGATCCCACCGAGACCAGCAGTCACTAGTTATGAAAGATTAGCATGAATATTTGAGTTTTGGAAAATTAAAACATGTTGGCCAAATAAGAGCTAACATGAGGCCCTACCTGACCTTTCTCCTTTCATAATGTGGAGATTGGAAGGATGGGAGGATAACTGCATTACCCTTGAAGACTACGGATTGAGAAAGAAAAGTATGTAGTAAGAATCCTGGGCAACACTCTACCTCAGGCAAAAACTAGAGTTTCCTGCAACTTGCTGTTGCTGAAAAAAAAAAAAAAAAAAAGGCATATTTATGGTTCTTCCTATTCCTGGAGAATGCTTTATGTAAAGACATGAGTCAGCTTCTGGAGATACATGAGCAGTCTCTCTAGGCATTCGGCAGGTCTGAGTGTTGCACAACTACACATGAAACTTGGTAACAGATGGACCTATTCCAGAGCCAGAATTTTTCCCAGCAAAAGGCTAGGAGTGGGAGAAGGAAACAATTTCCTCTGTCATTCCCAACTTAAAAGAGACTTCATCTTGTCTGTTTTACTTTAAAACAGCAGCTTTTCAGTCTTCAAAAGGATCTGCTCCAAGTTACATGAAATTACATCTCCCAATAGGTACACACTTCCCAGGGGAGGCCAGGTATGCTTCCCAACAAAAAGGAATGCATCAATTACTTCCTGTTTGGCCATCTCTTAGTAACACAGTGTTGTAGTTTGAGCCTGGTCGGCAGCCAACCACCCCACAGCCAATCACCCACCCTTCCCCCCCGCCACACACCTGGGAATGGGGGAGGGAATTAGAGGGGTAAAGGGAGACTTGCAGGTTGAGATAAAAACAGTTTAATAATGGTAATAACACGAGAACAATGACAGCAATAGAAAATATAAATGGGCAATGCACACTGCTGACCACCCGCTGACCAATCCCCAGCCCGTTCCCGGCCAGCGACCCCGAGATACCAAGATCCCACAGTCGCAATCCCGGAAGCGAGAGAGAGAGAGAGAGAGAGAGAGAGAGAGAGAGAGAGAGCCCCTTCCCGACCACCCCTCCTCTATACAGTGAGCATGACATGCCATGATATGGAATATTTCATTGGCCA